CGAAATTTATCAACTCTTGTGATTCAGGATATTCTATTCCTTCAACCATTTTAAGCGACTTTCCTAATTCCAATTCATCAATATTGAATGAAACACTATCAAAATTTAATGCTTTTTTAAACATCTTGCGCACTCTGCCTAGTGTACGATCTTCAATCAATCTTTCAGTATTAATAATTATGCAATCTCTTTCCTCAATTCCTTTTTTGATTTTATGATTTACACATACATATATATTTTTTTTAGGACCGATTAAAGCTTCAAGGTTATGTATTTGATCTTTTGTATAATCAGGCATTATAAAAATTATGAAACTTGAAGTCAGTTGATTTAAAAATCGAATTTGGTCTTGATAGTCTAAGGCATGACCGTGTAAATTTGCAAGTAATACGATTTTTGTTTTTCTTCTTTTTGATAATAATCTTTAAAAACTTCGTTCCATAAGTCCATTTTACAAGTTTCTTGAGTCAACCAAGTAAACTCTACACTTCCACTAACCATATATGGAACTCCAAATTTTGCACCTGGATCACATTTTGAAGAAAATATGTAATCAGAAGCCATTAAACGATTAAGAATTGTACTTTTTCCTGGGGAATGTTTTCCAATTCGAATTGCAACGATTAATTTGAATGGATCACTAAAAAGTCGGTTTTCAGTTATTGTTCCAGGACTTGATTCCCATTTTATGACTGGTCCAGTATATAAAGGAAGCATCACATTAAATTCCTTTTCTTCATTCAATTTGGGAGTTATTAAAGGAAATGTGATTGGAAATTGAGATAAAGTTTGAAAAATATCTTGAACTACGGTACATTCAGCAGAGGTAAGCAAGCTAGCAATGCAATCAAATCTTGACAATTGATTTTTTCTTTGTAATTCTTTATTTTCATTTATTGTTTCTTCATAATTAAGATTCTCAAAATCATCTTCAAAATCATCTTCACTATCATTTTCAGAATCATCTTTATTATCTTTAAAAGCTTCTTTATCGATCAAAGTCTTAATATTTTCGGCTCTAAGAACACCAACTCCCCACATTTTAACTTTCTGGCGAATATATGGAAGTAGTTCAGCTATACTTCCATTTTTTTCAATGTCTGTTAGTCTTGGGTTAGGAATGATAACACCGAGCTTAACATAATCATTAGGTTCCACCAAAGATATTTCATCTCCTAGAATTGGTCGCCATTGTTTATGTATCGTTGGGGTGTCCAATGTACTATGTAGATCAAATAGATTTATAGTCTCATAGTAAATTTTACTAGTGAATTTTTTTCGTGTAACGAAGACGATGATCTATAGTAAATGCCATGATTTTCGACGAATT